CCACTGCAACACGGCGCACGGCTGCAGTGTGGCGCATGGAATAGGGGCCCACTGCTCGACATTGTTACGAAACGTGGGCCCGGGGTATGAATGCGCACGCCGGCACTATTTTCAGAGAGTGAACCAACATTCCCTGAATGTCGGGAAACCAAACAGTCTTGCAATGAACGACTCAGCAAACTAAGCTGCACAACAACCGCAAATGCCACGCATCGACTATGCCGGCGATGTTTGACACAGCTGAGACCACTAGCAGGCCCCACTGCAACACGGCGCACGGCTGCAATGTGGCACATGGAATAGGGGCCCACTGCTCGACATTGTTACGAAACGTGGGCCCGGGGGTATGCATGCGCTCATTTCCTGCACGGCTCTCGAAGGAAAATACTCCACGCTCACAGTGCAGGTATCATGTCACGACTAGATCGATGCTTTTTGTCCGGTGTGAACCTCTACGAGACACCCTTCACGTGGGTCCAGGGACTAGGTTTTCGTCGGGTGTGAGGAACGTACAACCCGCAACGCAAGATTCACGTCTGATGCTTGGACTTTCAGATTCGTCATCTGACTGGGCAGAAACGGCAACGAAAAACAGCCAGCTCAAAAGACTGACAAAGACAACATGTCACGCCTGAAGTCTGGGACAGGGAGCAAAGTTAGATCCGGAAAGAGAATCCAAAATCCCTAAACCCAAAAGCCCTAATCTAACTCTGAAGTCCCTTACTCCCATAACCCTTAACCTCCAAAGCATGTAGTGCCTGAGCACCACATGCACCAAATAAACCACTGGGCATCCGAGCGGTGCACAAAGTCGGGGATTTCCTGCCAATGCCCAGGGATAGGGTTCAGGGTTGAGGGCGTAGACAGAAAGTGCCAGGAATTGCATCGCATCGCCACGCTTTTAGACGTAGAGAAGTGCAACCCTAAACCCTGAACCCTAAACCCAAAACTCTAAACCGCTTTAAGAGCCGATGCCTTACAAGTAACATGGCTTTGGCTTCGGGACTGAAGCTTTCCACAAGAGGCAAGACCTGAACGAATCCTTTCTGGGAGTTGCCAAACCCAAAACGTCAACCCTAAACCCCTAGACCCAAAAGCCCTAACCCCCTAAACCCCAAGCCCGAAACCCTTAACCCCTAAACCCCAAGCCACAAAATCCCAAAGCCGTAAGCCCTGCAAACCCTATAAACCCCTAAACCCCTAACCTCTAAAACCTAAAACAAGGGCGTCGGGTTTGGGGTCTGGGGTTAGGGTTTAGGGTCTACCTTAAGAACCCAAAACCACCTTTTTTGTAGTGTCCCTAAAAATCCCATATTAGGGTTTGTAATAGGAACCTACAAAAAGGTGGGTTTGGGGTTCTTAGGGTAGGGTACAATTTCATGGCAAGGCCCACAGTGATGTTCAAGTCTTCCCTGGAAAGGCTCAAGAATCCCCTAAACCCTAAACCCTAAACCCTACAACCCTAAACCCTAAACCCAAAACCGGGCCCAATACCCCATCAGTCAGGAATGTCTACCTTAAGCGATACGGTGAGGGTTCTGACACGGTCCGATGAGGTACTAAAGCATGACATACAGGCCAGCATGGGATGTAGACCGGGGTTTTGCGGTCAATGGCTCAATCATCGACCTAACTTATGGGATACCTTAAGCCCAAAACCCCAAACGCAATAACCCTGAACTCTAAACCTGAAACCAAAACCCCAAACCCAAAACCTGAACTCTAAACCTGAAATCAAAACCCCAAACCTAAAACCGGAACTCTAAACCTTAAACCCTGAGCTAGGTAAAGACAAGCCAAAGTCCAAAAGCCTAAACCCTAAACCCTAAACCCAAAGCCCTAAGCCGTGCCTGCGCCAAAGCGAAGGCAGGAAAGTCTACGTCCGCGGAAAGCAGACCCTGGGTTTAGGGTTTAGGGTTTAGGATTTAGGGTTTAGGGTCTTGGGTCTAGGGTTTAGGGTTTAGGGTTAGGGGCCTTAACAGTTACCCATAGGCCCTAAAGTAGTTCCTTTTGGGGGTTCATATTTTGAATCCTATAAGGTAATCCCAAAAAGGAACTACTATGGGGCCTATGGGTAGATCAGGGTTTGGGGTACTTGGGGTATATTATACTATTGTAAACAGAAGAAGGAATCCCCCAAAACCCTTTTATAATTATTAAGGCCCCTACATTGTAGGGCTTAAGGGGTCCAGCTTAGGGTTTAGGGTTTGGGGTCTAGGGCTAAAGGGGTTATTATGATTGATAAAGCTCAAAAGATTGAAAGGGTGTGTTGGAAGCTTGAAGATGTTGGAAATTCTGGGATTGCGGGCTTGCGGCTTTGGAGATTCCTGATCGAGGACTCGAGGAATGCACAGTACATATTCTGCCGGTCGCATCTATGGAGGCTTATGCCTCAACCTACACCCTAAACCCTAAACCCTAAACCCTGAACCCTAAACCCCACACAAGCTGCGTAGGGGTTCAACCTGGGCACCTGATCGCGCTGAATAAGTCTTTTATAGGAGTGAGGGTGAAGATTCCTCGGCAACCAAGACTTTGAGACTAAGAGCTGCAATCACTTGAGACTAGAAGCCCAGCCACTCTCAAACACGCCCACCCGGGTACTAACGCTCTAAGCCCCCATCAGCTAAACTACCTACTTTCTTGACTAGTAAGCTGTAATCACTGTAAACCTTTCTAAGCAGTGCAGTTCGCCGGCTTTAGAAGCGACTCAAGGCGGGCTACCTTCAAAATACGGACAGGCCATGGGCTTCTGGGACACAAATCCCAAACTCCCGAACCCTAAACCCTAAACCCTAAACCCTAAATCCCAAACTCCCGAACCAAAACCCTAAACCCCAAACCCTAAACCCGAAATCCTAAACCCGAATTGCCCAACAAAATGCAGGGGCCATCCCCGAGTTCATGTAGCATAGTAGCATAGAGACTCAAATAAAAGAGGGGACCTTGGGAGGGCATATTTTTATGGAATGCTTATGATCTGTAGTATTTCTTCAGACACCTACCCTAAACTCTAAAGAGCATAATCTACGGCATGAGTATGATCTATCGTATTTCTGCAGACCCCCTACACTAAACCCTGTAACCCCTACAGTGAGCCCCAGAGAGTTGGAACCATGGGTTTAGGAGGATCGGTGCTGGCATCCCCTACTTGGAGGATCATGGGACTTAGTAATCAGGGTTATAAATAAGGTAACTGTAATTATAACCCCTATCAGGGTACTTTTAACCTTACTTACTAAGTCATGATCCTCCAAGTATAGATTACCTTAAGAGCATGAGGATATTGATGTTCCAACTTTCTGGCTTCTGCTATACATAGGAGTTTCCTACTATCTGGGGGCCCTGATATAGCAACCCCAGATAGTAGGATGCTTATTATGAGGACCCCAACATATGGTACCCTTGTTTTCGGAAACTCCCACATTACCTGCAAGGTAGGACGGCAGAACTCGATCGATCGATCCTCGTCAAGTCCCCGAGCCCCGACGGCCTCCATGCCCAGAAGTACCAAGCACCATGTTATCCGTAAAATAGGGGCCCTAATAATTAGAATAGGGTTTTGGGGTATATGATACCATATTCGTAATAAGGAACCCCCCCCAAAAAAAATAGTATAGGTAATCATTAAGGGGTTCCTTCAGGGAACCCTTACAGGAACCCTGAAGTAGCTCGCTGTATTCACAAACTGTCCATCGAGTTCGAAGTCTTCCAATGGAGAGAAAACATCTGTGTAGTTCTCTAAATTAGGGTCCCGTTTAGGTCCCCAACATAGTACGGCACCCTTACAACGAGGACCCTAACAAGGGACCCTAACTTAGATCACTAACCATCTGCCCGACGATGCCTCCAAGTCTGACTCGCGTGCGGGACGGACCAAAGGCGCCTGTAAAGGCATCAAGGCGACTGTAAACCCACAGCCCCAAGCCTAAACGGTTCAGGGTTGAGGGTAGCGATCCCTACACCCTAAATCCTAGACCCTAAACCCTAGATCCCCAAACTCAGGTGGAGGGTGCGATTACGGCCCTAAACCCTGAGCCCTGAACGCTAAAACCCTAAACTCGAAGATCGGCTCTTGGGCTCGAGGCTCTGGGGTTCATGGGATGTGGGCTCTGTTAGGGTCTACAGAGCTTCGGGGTCAGGCTTTAGGGTTTATGTATGATTTAGGATTACGCTTTAGGACGCGGGCTTAGGGTTTAGCTTAGGATTTCGGATTTAGTGTTCCGGGTTGAAGTTTACCGGGCTTCGAAAGTTCTGTAGAGCTGTTCGACGTATTCCGGCAAAATGAGCAGCAACGGTAGGTGATTGAAGCCCCGGATTCATGAGTATGTATCTGTATACGTATGTCGGCATGTATGAACAATATGTAATGATCTAGGCATATGTGTGTACGGAAATAAATGAGCCTTCGGACCCTTCGCCGCCATGAAAACTTGACTATGTTCTTTACTACATACGAACAGACACGTCTGCAAACTGCGAACATGCAGCCCGACATGTTTGTCTTGAGTGTGTGTCATTTGAAGGTAACCCCGAAACACCTTATCCAACCCTTATAAACTTATATCAGAACCCCTACGCAAGCTTCTGCTGCTACCGGTTCTGACAAAACCGTTCAACATACTCAAAAAACCCTAAACCCTAAACCCTAAACCCTGAACCCTAAACCCTAAACCCTGAACCCTGAACCCTAAACCCTAAACCCTCAACCCTAAACCCTCAACCCTAAACCCTAAACCCTAAACTCTACGTCAGAAAAGCATCTAGCCTGCAGGCGCGCGTAGCGGCCGCGGACGAAGACCCCATCTTTGAAGCTGCCGACCCTTGAGCTGGCCATAGGGTTTAGGGTTTAGGGTCCCATTTAGGGTTTAGGGTTTAGGGTTTAGGGTTCAAGGTTCAGGGTTTAGGGTTCAAGGTTTAGGGTTTAGGGTTCAAGGTTTAGGGTTTAGGGTCCCATTTAGGGTTTAGGGTCCCATTTAGGGTTAAGGGTTTAGGGTCCCATTTAGGGTTTAGGGTTTAGGGTCCCATTTAGGGTTGAGGGTTTAGGGTCCCATTTAGGGTTGAGGGTTTAGGGTCCCATTTAGGGTTGAGGGTTTAGGGTTCCAGTTAGGGTTTAGGGTTTAGGGTTCAAGGTTTAGGGTTTAGGGTTTAGGGTTCAAGGTTTAGGGTTTAGGGTTCAGGGGTTGAGGGTTGAAAGGATTTCTTGAGGGTTTTGTAGGGTTCTTAGGGTTGTTAGGGCTTTAGGGTTTTAGCGGTTTTGAAGTAGTTTTGGGATTTTTGAGGTTCTTAGGGTTGTTAGGGCTTTGCGTTTTTCGCGGTTTTGAGGTCATTGAAACTTCTTAGGGTTTTTAGGGTCTGAGGTTCTGTAGAAGGAGTTTAGGGGTGTTTATATAGGGTTCTTATTGCCAGGCTCCGCAAGCAGTCGTAATAGCGTTTTTGCTTTGTAGACGTCGACCCAGGCCTGCAACACCTAAGGGTACTTTCCGGGCTCTTCGGCACTCGGCCTCTAGGGGTTCGTGCTGAAGGGCTTTTGAACCCGAACCCTAGGGCTTAGAGTTTGGGATTGAATCCACAACCCGGCACCCTCAAAACCGAAATCCTCAAAAGCACCGGTCCCAAAACCCTGAATCCTGAGCACAGAGCTATGGAAGGAAGTCTTGAAGGAATCCCTCAGTAGCATCGAAGCATCGGTAACTACCCATATTACTCCTCAGGGCTTCTTACTACGACTACAACTATAGTATAAACATACCACCCGCAAGCCAATTCTAATAATTAAGGCCTCTATAGAAACCCTTCAGAGTAGAATCCCAAATCCCGTGAACCACTGCTTCCTCTTTGGCTCAGTCGCCGCGGCTGTGCTCTGAAGACAACTTGACCCAGGGACTTAGATTGAAGTTTAGGCACGGCTTGTGAAGACTTAAACGGTATTTCGGCTTACAAGGAGGTTTAGTAAAGTTATAAATGCAAAACGGCACGTATGATTATACACGTGCTTAGACTCGCAAGTGAGCTGCACATACATATATATATATATATACATGTGTACTAAGTTTCCTGATCCTCCAAATTCGATGCTGCCGTGGAGCAGCGCGGTCAGCCCATCTGGAAAGACGTACCTGAGCCAAACAACTTCATCCAAAGCGAGGGTTCAGTATCTACGCGTTCTTATGAGGAATATTGTGAAGGTACATGCAGTGTTCAGGGGATTAGGGCCTTCAGGCTACAAGGGGCTAAGGGCTGTGGAGTGATTGAGATGGTAGGGAACCAGATTTCGGGCTGTAGGTTTACTCAGGTTGTTATCCCTATAAACCCTGTTCCTAAAAAGAAAATGGTGGGCAACACCGAGAGCCGCAACACATCCACAGGATATTCGTACCCATATAAGCCCTAAAGTAGTTCCTTTTTGGGGTTCATATATAGAATCCTATAAGGTAACCCCAAAAAGGAACTACTGTGGGTCCTATTAGTAGACCTTGCCTAACGATGCGGACATTCCGCGAAAGCAAGGACCCCACAAAACGGATCATGGATTCTCCAGGTCCGCCCTCACAGGACCCCTTATTCCCAGACCCTCTCTCCCCATCTTCAGGGTTTAGGGTTTAGGGTTCAGGGGTTTAGGGTTTAGGGTTTAGGGTTTAGGGGTTAGGGTTTAGGGGTTTAGGGTGCTTGGTACTCATCCCAAGACCTTTAAAAAGCCTAAACCCAGAGCCGTGGAGCAGGATGTCATCACCGCTGTGCTCACCTTCACCATCCACGGCGCCGACGACGCCTCACCCAAATGCAGGATTGTGAGCTTTAGCCTGCGGCACAGGTACCTCAACGGTCTAGCTCGAAAGCATACTATAGGGTTCTCCAGTTCAGATTTCGCGGTTGCGCAACGATTCGCAGTTTTGACTCCTTCAGCTGCCGCTTACTGAATCTGAACCCCACCATGTTCAAAGATCATATTACTTTACAAGCCCTGTCTTCTATTTCAATATATAGGGCCTAAATAATTACCTATACTATTTTGGGGGGTTCCTTTTTGGAAATATACTATAATCTACCCCAAAACTCTATTCTAATTCTTAAGGCCCCTACATTAGTCCATGGAGTATGTCCACACTGAACATTTTAGCGGACCATGCTGAAGCACTAGAACCCCAAGCCCCACACAAACCCAAAGCCCTGTGCACTTTCTCAAACCCCAGCAAACCCCTAAACTCTAAAACCCTAAAATCCAGAACACTAGACCCCTAAACCCTAAACTCGAAAAAATCAGAACCCTAACCCCCTAAACCCCACAACCCTAAACCTAGATGCAGTAGCCCCTCCTGCATGCCCAGCCACAACCTCCGAAGTCATCAAAGACCTGCGCCATGCCCGCGCGGACGTCCTTTTCTGAACGGTTTAGGGTTTAGGGCTGTGGGTTTAGGCTTTTAGGGTTTGAGGGTTTTAGGGTTTTAGGGCTTAGGGTTTAGGTTTAGGGTGGGATTCCGGTTTTATAGCGTTCATGATAAGAGCACGCAGAAAAGTAGGTTATGGCAGCTTCAAGAATTTCTAAAGGCGCATAGAACTAAGCAAGGCTATAATACGTAAGGTTAGAACTATGGTAACCCAACTTAGGGCACTTCTACCCTCCAATGATAACCCTACCTACCCAGTCCCGTCAGCCTGCAAGTCGGGTGGGATTTCGGTTTAAGGTGTCTGCAAGGACTCCATAGGATTTCTTCGGATTCTGTACGGGCGGATGTAGAAGGTGTTTAACGTAGGGGCTTTAACAATTAGAATGGGTTTTTGGGGCCATTACACTACAATTATAATAAGGAACCCTAAGGAAAAACAAAAGTAGTTGTTTGGGCTTCTATATTGAGGGTTCAAAGCTTTGTGTTAGTAGTGTCTAATAATGTTCAGGGTTTCCAGTCTCAGGGCGAAGGTGCGGGAGCGCGCTGCAAGGCTTTGGGGCTTCGGGCGGAGGGTTTTGGGTATAGGGGGTTTGTGAGGCTGCGTAGGGCAGGCTTTCTTTTTTTTGTATCAGGGTTCCTGGTTCGATAGATTGCTGTGACGGCTTTTAGGTTTCAAGGGTTTCGGGCTTCGGGGCGAGATGCAAAAATGTGATGGCTGTTCTGGACCAGGTCTACACCCAAAGAAACAAACCCGAGGATGTTACACAAGAAAGCCTGGCAGCAAGCCAGGAATCCTAAACATAAACGTATCTGCTACATCCATTGATCGGGCTTTTGTTCATGGTGTAGGGTTTCTGAATCCCGATCCCATGTAGCCCAACAAACGCGCCCTCCTTCTCAAAGGCCCCGCGGAAAACGAGGAGGCCAGATTCATCTAGCTGCCTGAGCTGCAAGTCTATTGTTTTAATGCGAATACGCATAGTAGTACGAATACTGCATGCTAGTACTGTCGGCTAGTCGCGAAAACTGATTTTTAAAAAGCTTACGAATAATTCCTATAGATGCTAGTACTAATACATACTAATACTAATACTAATACTAGGGCGAACGCCAATACTGATGCCGATACTGTATGATACTTATTTTGAATACGAAAGCTGAAGACTCATACAAATTCAATATTCCGTCTGGGGGGGTCTGGGTGACGGGGCGGGCGCAAGTACATCAGGATGCTTCATGTTTAGCTCCGCTTCACTCTTCGGGCGTTGGGTTTAGGGTTTAGGGTTGCTGGTTAGGGATTCAGGGTTTAGGGTTTAGGGTTGCTGGAGCTAGCTAGCCAGGCTCCTCAAGGGTTGGGGGGATTGGGCTTGAGAGCTGATGGGTTACACTAGATCAGCGATGCATCAGGCTCTTCATGTCCAGGACTTCTGGTTGAGGTCTTCCGGTGTGCTCGAGACTTCGATTTTGCGAGGGCTTTCAATGAGGTGAGGATGCTAGTGCTTCGTGGGGTAAGATTCGGGAGATTGCTCTATCTGACAAATTAATTGCGTAAGTGCGACATGGTCTTGAAGTGCGCGCACGGGAAGTCCCTATAACGAACGGCAACCCAACAAAAGGGTGTTGCAGCTGAAGGTGTTACAATTTGTGTGTTTGTCCCTAGCCCAGACGGCTACGGTCTAGCTTCCACTACCGTAGCGTCAACACTGACCATGCCAATACAACTGCCGATGCTACCAACCACCGGTACCTACTCTTACTCCTACTCATCTACTCCTTTTCCCCCTCCTCCGCCTCCTCCCCCCTTACTCGAACCCACACTCGTCGTCGTCGTCGTCGTCGTCGTCGTCGTCGTCGTAGTCGCAGTAGTAGTAGTAGTAGTAGTAGTAGTAGTAGTAGTAGTAGTAGCAGTAGCAGTATCAGCAGTAGCAGTAGCAGTAGCAGTAGCAGTAGCAGTAGCAGTAGCAGTAGCAGTAGCAGTAGCAGTAGCAGTAGCAGTCGGAGTAGTAGTAGTAGTAGTAGTAGTAGTAGTAGTAGTAGTAGTAGTAGTATCAGTATCAGTATCGGTAGTAGTGGTAGCGGCTATTGCTGTCGCTGTGGCTGTTGCTGTTGCAGATGCTGCGGCGGTGGTGGTGGTTGTGTTGGCAATTACTACTATGACTACCGGCTTTGCTGTTGCTGCTGGTTCCAGTATGGTGGTTTCTGCAAGCAGCCGTCGGACGTGGTGCCAGCAGTGCTCACTAGATTGCAGTAGTTGTCACTAGTCAGTAGTGTTACTGGGAGCTGGGGCTGTGTTAGTATAGGGTAATCCCCACATGCACTGAATGCGCGACGGCTTGCTCACACAGCTTAGTGGGGGTGAGGCATGTTCATAACCTAAGCAGGAGCTAACTCCCCCAAAACCTGCTTACAAGCCCCACCTGCTCCGCAAGCTCTGACACCTTAGCCCCCAAACTCTTAAGCCCAGGCCGATTGCCGGCAACATTGCCTAACTCCAAATCTGCAACTTCGGCCCTGAAAGCCGTAGACCCTAAAAGCCCAAAGACTACAAACCCCTAAGCCCGAAGTCCCAAAGCTGTGGACCCCAACGAGGGTAGGACCCTCGCAACTGGTCGAATGCGGCTGGACGCTTTGGCCACTCCATGGCCAGACCCTGAGAAGCAGAAATGAAAACAGTTCATACTACAAGGGCCTAAGTAATTACCTATACTATTTCGGGGGATCCCTATTATAAATACAGTGTAATGGGCCCCAAAACCCAGTTCTAATTACTAAGGTCCCCATACTACTGGGGTTTAGGCTTGCGGCTTTAAGGGTTTAGGGGCGTCGGGTGTAAGGTTTAGGGTTAGTGTGTCAGAAAGAGTCTAGTTACTGATTTTGAATCCGATGCGTTTATACGGGTTTAACGGTTTTTTCCTTGGAGAAAGGCTTTTGTCAGCACATAAGGGTTTAATGGGTTATCAAACTTGTATAAAGGTTGTTGACAGGGTAACTTTCAAAAAGGTTGTTGAGGGTCCTTTGATGTTACAAGTTTACTGTTGCCAGGGATTGTGTCTGGCTGTCCTTGTGGCCTGTAGGGTTTCAATGTTTTTGGGACTGTATTTGTATTGACAGAAATGAGATCCCCAAACAGATGGGCAAACCTGTGCCAGTGAACCCCAGAAAGTTGGAACATGGGTTTTGGGGGGAGATTGGTGCTAGGATCCCTTTATACTTTACCTTACGTGCATGAGGATGTTGATGTTCCAATTTTCTGGCTTCTATAGGGGTTTAGAGGGTCTGTTCGAGTTTAAATGTTCTATTGAGATTTTACATGGACCGTGGGGGCCTTGAGAATTAGGATTCGCTTTTGGTGTACCTCTATATGGAGACTACAGGGGCGCAATAAATAAATCAGCCCGGCCTAAATAGTTTTCTATACTATTTTGGGGGGTTCTTGTTATATATATATATATATATTGTATACTATACTCCGAAACCCCTAAACCTTATTCTAATTATTAAGGCCCCCCCCACATTATCCACCGTCAAGCCGCGCGCCCCAGCACTCAGAGGCCTGGAGCTTTTGCGAATAAGGCCCCAGCCCTTTTAGGGTTTAGGGTTTAGGGATCCTGAGAGTTTTTTTGTGCAAAAAGGAGAGCAGAAAGTTCGAGCCAATGAGAATGAGAGCCCTAAGCCCTAAATCCTAAACCCTATATTCCTAAACCCTAAATCCCTTAAGCCCTAAACCTCGAAAGAACCCGAACTCGTCATTCGGTGTGGCCGTCCCAGGCATCAGCAGCCTGCCTTCTGCCAAGTCTGGTGGGTTTTGCGGGGGGTAGCCTTTCCGCTTTGAAATGGGTCTGTAAGGCTTTTGGGTTTAGTAATTTAGGGTTTAGGGTTTCCCTAAGAACCCTAAACGGGCTTAGGGTTTATATACTGTATAGGGATTCATAGTGTAATTGTATAGGGTCCCTACTTTTACGGATCATTTGGTCCTTCAGGTTGGGTGGGGGCTTTACCGGGTGTGGCAGTGGGGTTGTCAAAGGGTTTGGCAAGGGCTTTAGGGGTTTTGGGTCTAGGTGTAGGGCTTGGGATTTCGGGGTACCGGTTTGGGCATGTGGCTTTAGAAAGATTTTATAGGTGCACAGCTGTCGGTCAGAATACTGCATCGCAATGGGTATACACCAAAACTCTCAGAGGTTCGGACGCTTAAGGTACTGCAAGGTTTTGTGCATCGAAATTCAGGGATGGTTGTGCTTCTTGCATTGGTTTTCCACTGTTGTTCTCGCACATGGGGTCAAATGGGAGCGCAGATTTCGGGGTGTTCATACACCCAGCGCGTTAAAGAATGTTAAGCAGTACACAGTGCTTGAGATGAAATGTGTGTCCACAGGAAGGTCTTTGAGGTGGTGGAGTGAACTTCAACGTGGGTGGTTGAAGCAAAAAGAAAATTGGCAGATTGGCGCGAGAGTTGAAGCCGTCGTGTTTGGTTCAACAGATCAGAGATGACTCCTTGGGGCGTTCAGCGTGTGTCGAACACTCTCTTCTTTGAGGGAGTTTTGGGCTTTGGCCAGTTTACACCTTGTCAACCCTGAAACCCCAACCCCGTTTGATAGACGTATAAGTATCATCACCCCCCAAACCCTAAACCCTAAACCAAATTAGGATCAGGGTTTACCAGAATTGACACAAAGACAGCACATAGCCGAGGCTGCTTGGAAATGGTGCTGGAGAAATGGGGGTCCCCGGTGTCGATTTCTGGGCTCTGCTGCAAACTGCCATTTCGGACGGCGAGAGCAAGTTTGCCGAATATTTTTGGTCATGCATCGACCAAAATCCTCCGAGCCCTTGCAATGCATGGAGATTCATCCTTTACACGGACGAGATCGTGCCGGGTAACCCCTTGGCCGTCCAGCCGAAGAGGAAGATATGGGCTGCCTACGCCTCCTTCATGGAGATGGGCAGCTATGCCCTCTAGCACGAGGAGTCCTGGCTT